TATGCAATGGCTAATAGCACATGCAGCCCTGCCACTTATACACATCTAGATGTGTATAAGAGACAGCACACACACCTGTCCAAGGCTAGTACAATAGTGCTGGAACTTGAGATGGCAATGCCATGGAGTTTCCTTCTTCAATCATAACCACCTTATCGCACTGAAGCTATGGTGACCTTCCCTCTCATCCCTTGAACTCCACCGTGCAACACTTTCTCCCTACAGCACAAGCACCGCCGTAGTTACCTCCTCCTCTAAATCTCCACCACAGACCCTCCTCTGTAAAGAGCCAGACTTACATCAGTCAGCACCATCACCTCCATGCCTTGGATTACGAATGACAATCACATCCAGCCACTGGTCTCCTCTTCAGAAGCAATGGATCAACACTCTCCAGGTAGGCTCTCTCTGCCCTCGAAGCCTTGGACTTCGCCTCTCTAGAGTCTCTATCTCGTATCTCTCATCCTTTCTCACTCTCTATGGTGTATCAGCACCTCCTACTCCCTATGTTTGCCACTCTCTCTCTCCCCAACTCTAGCTATGACAGCTTCGCTCTCCCACTCTGTCTTCCTTCTTCTCTCCACAATGCTAATGCACTGGCTCCTAGCAGCACTCCAGCAAGTGCAAGGCAGGTCAACTCCCGTTCTCTCCATGAATTGTTCCAGGGACCTCCAGTTGATCTGGTCATACGCTTTCTCAAAGTGGAAAAACACGTTTGGTCTGCTCAGAACCCACCAACTATCAAATAAGAGGACCCCAAGTAACATGCTAGCTCTGTCCTGGATCATATGCAAATCCTGGCCAATGAAGGGCACAAGCAAAGATGGGCTAGCAGAGGGCCAGGAAGAGGGCCAGGAAGAGGGCCAGGGGTGCGACTACTGGAGACAATTGATGAAGTGGCAGAGAGAAATCTTCCCAGCCAAGGTCCAGGAACCAGCTTGGCAGCTGCCAAAGAAGATGTGCCGAGACAACCAATCTTTCTGCATGCAACCGATATCAGCCTCACAAAGGCAAACTATGGACACACATCTAAAGACACAAATGGGGTTCATGGGTGGAAAGGAAAGCATGACAAATCAAGCACTTCTGGATTGACAGCTGAAGAACGCCGATGACCATTTGTGAGATAAGAGAGCCTTGAAGGGCTGCTACAATCTACAAGAGAAATACTAGTCCCGATACCCCACAGCATGGCTTTCACTACTTGAGGAACACGGCGGGCACCTTGGCTTTAGAGCGAGAAAAGGACCTCAAAAGAAGTGGCTAGTCTTGAGTATGTGCCAAATAGAGGAGTCCAGGGAAACGACTAGTAAACAAGGGAGAAATCCAGAAGGAGGGCTAGCCATTCTAGAAGGATTAAGAAAGATCTGAGTCATGAAGACAGATGACCGCAGGATTCAGACCCCAGCAACAGAGCTGCGAGGTTTAGAATTTGGCCCAGAAGAACAGGCTTAAAAACTGAAGTCTGGACCAGGAAGAGAATCAACCTCCTAAGATACAAAACTAAGATTAGACACTCTCCAAGGATGTGGTCAAACCTACTTGACCAAATACTTAGCCAACGATGGGCTGATCACCAGAACACCAACCCAGAACGCCTGTGCAAAATATCCTGGAAACAGTATCTCAGCAATCAGAGGCAACGTGACTACCGTCTTAACCCGAATAGAACGCCCTGTCATTATAGTTGGCCCACTTTCAATCCAGATGCAGCAATAATAATCTGCCGTTCTATTCGAGTGAAGATGGTAGGAGCTTCCAATGGCTTCTTTTTCATCTTGCTATGCCAGTCAACAAGTGGCTGAATAAAAATTCAGGAGTAAGGAAAGAAAATCTTCAGTGATTCTTCACTGAAAAGTCTGAAAGAGTAATGTCAAATCGGTCAGTGGAGAACGTGGAGCCCTGCCTTTAACATGGCAAACTGGCAAAGGAACTCTGGCAAAGGAAGAGGGCAAAGGAACTCTGGCAAAGGAACAGGCCAAAGGAACTCTGGCAAAGGAACAGGGCAAGGGAACTAGGCAGGTCATGGGTTACCTGAAGATCCCCCTTGTCATCTTGTTGGCAACCAATTCTAACCCGCAACCTGCCTAGTTTTCAAGAAACGCTTCCATAGTTTAATATTGGCAATCCTCTGGATGATATGGAAACGCGGATGTCAGAAATTGTGAAGAAACCCTCGATCACACACTGATGCCCTGTCCTGAAGCTTGGGGAGTACTTCAACTCTAGAAACAGATGACAGAGTGCATGGGCGAGAACACACACAAATACAGCCAAGACCAGGGATAAAGAGGAAAAAATAACTGCAGATTTCCTAAAAGATATGCCAGAAGACAGAAAAATAGCAAAGATTGTGAATGGCAAGATTCAATTTTGTTCAGGGCAGCAGTCCCCTGCTCAGGACCTTAGGACCCCAGGTGCACCCAGAAGTATGAACCCTGTAATGAACCCAGTCTCATGAGAAGCCAACCAGTGTCGTGATACAAGTCTGAAGCCAGTGGTTATATCTCCAAAATAGATTATATGTCCATGCCCAGCATACGTGCACTTTCCAAGAGCATCGTAACTTCAGAGAAGAGAATGAGGTAGTGGGGAGAAGCGCCGAGAGGAGGAGAAGAGAAGTCCCAGTAATAATCAATAATGCATGAAGTCTCTTCATGCCCACTTCCTCCTCGGACATTAACCCCCCTGCCACCACCTCAGCAGTGCAGTCTCTCTCTGACACCCTCTGACAGTTTCACTGTGCAGGCCACAGCAGGGCCCATCCTCCAGCCTCTTCAGCAGCCAATCAGGGAGGATGGCGCAGATAGTCCTCATCTTCGTGGAGATGAGCAGCAGATCATGCACTACGTCGCCAGGTAAGTCCAGGTAAGCTTCCCCTCAAACCCTCTCCAGTCTCACAGCCTTGAACCTACCCCTCCTCGCCCGACCTCAACACCAATGTGTATAGCTATGGCAGCAACGGCCGCTTCAACATAATCTCCTCCGATGCTGGCGCCCCCCCAGAAGCACTGGCACCTTCATAAACTCCAACGACCTCACGATACCGTACTAGCATCAAGCCAGCATAAAGCAGAATGCCTTCCCCAGTGTCTGGCCGTTCTTTTGTAGCAATGACCAATGTAGACTGGCATGGACCAGTCTTCCCTTTGTCGGTATCGACGCTTTAGATCTGCTCACTTTCGACGGCCTGGATGCAGCTTCGCAGCAGCGGTACCTTTTCCCAGTCAGGACTGGAATCTTCCGGATACCTGCAGACAACCAATGATGTGCATCTGATCGATGGCCTTGGCTGGCCAACGGGCTGACTTTGACTTTGGGCCTGGAATCCCGTTCTGGAGTAAACACTTGATTTTCCAAGAGTCAACTGTCTCACATAGGGTACTAGACACAGCTTTTGACTCAGATCCTGGTACCCCTTGACCCTAGGAACTTTCTCAGACATGTCCGAGACTTGGGGCATGACTTTTCACCCCTGTTTTTGGCCAAAAGTGACGACCCTTGCTCACTTCTGGGAAGATCTGAACCGGGTTTATTACACCCCACTCACCAGCATTTATCATATGTCCATCATATAAAGCACCTACACATAAAAAAAGGGCTGAAGAAAGTTCAAGAAACCAGTCCATGACTTAACATGAGTAAAATACTACCTTCAATTCCTCGTATATTCAATAGAGTGAAACTTCCCCACTAAGCAAAACATGCCAATAATAATTTAAAAAAAAGAAAAGAACGAGCTGGGGAAGGCCTAGTACGCGCCCAAGCCTACCTCTGTTTGCCTTGTCCGATGGCTGAGATTTACAATCCGTGCGGCCAATAGTTTATCGTAGCCAGTGTGGGCCTGGACCCAGTGGGCCTAGGAAGCTCTGGAAAGTGTTGCTGAGCCTTTGGATTGCATGTGATCTCTGGCCGTGCTTGACTATGGGGAAAGCTTTGACTATTTGATCTCTGTTCCTGGGTTAGGCCTGACTGTTTAATTTCCTGGAGCTGGACACATTCTTCTTTCTTTTTCTTTATAAAGATTGGACCATTTCTCGATTTATGCATGTCATCCTTGGGGCCATGCTAATCTTCTCTGTATTGTTCCAATTTTAACGGATGTCCCGAAGGACAGGTGCTCGACACATTCTAAGGCCCAGTAGATTGGCTTTTGAACCGGGAATTCGGACTTCAGCCAAAAGTTATGACCCAAATACTTGTTCCCATGCGCATTCAACCTCCTTTCTGCTCAATCCCCACGGTATTCTGCACTGTTCTCAATCCAAGACACAGACTGGAGCACATTCTACGATTACGAGGGCCATTTTGACCAATTCCAGAACCCTGCAGACCTGTTTGAGACGACCAGTCTTGTATCAGACTCCGAAAGAATGTTTCGCGCCGGGTTTTGAACCCAGATCCTTACAATGTTCCCAGCAAACGTTAATTGCGGCAACCAGGAATCAGCAACCATCCCAGGCAGGAAATGAACGGAAAGGACAGATGTGGACATACCTTGGTAACAACTAACGCAGTCCGTTCACCTTTACGCTCCAGCAGAGCATTTGTAGCCACCGTTGTTCCTGCAAATCGATTCCCAAATGGAAACACCATCAAGCAAATCTAAAAGTTACTGTAATGACCCGTCATAACACAGACTGAGAACACTGCTGATTTCTGAAGTTCTGCCGATGGAATGGATGCCTTGATGAGATTCCCGCATTCTGCTGTGTTTTCTAAGTCTGTCTGTGTGTGTGCGTGCTTGTGACCTGCATGCCTGTCTGAGTGCTAGTTTGTATGAGTGTGTGTGGGACCCGCAAGGGTACTTGCTTGTTTGGTAGGCCCGTAGGGCCGGTACTTACCTGTGGCCGTGGCATTGAGGGTTGTAGCAGGGAAAACACTCRAGTGGCGAAGCTAGCGGCCCTGAGGCCCTTGGGGTAGCGGAAAAACACTCAAGTAGGCCAGTAGGCCGATACTGCACCCCACTGCAGTTGACGTGAGGGGTACTGGAGGCCGAGCAGAAAAAGACAAAGTTGGCATTTTTAGAGTCCAGTAGCGGTAGGGTAGGTCTAGGCCGATACCAGTCCAACTAGTCTGAGTCTAGAGCCTGTACGGGTAATATCAGGGTCTGCAATGATGTTTCCCTCCGAAACGGAGGAGGTACCGGTTGCTTGGAGAGGCCGAGCGGCCTGGAAGTCACCGCCCAAGAGGCAAGCAGGCCGCTATATCTAGAGGCGGAGGCAAGAGATCCGCCTCATTCTTCAGTGTGCGAGTTGGGCGTCACGCTGCTGGAGCGCTAGGTGGAGCGCTGGGCACTACAGCGCTGCCGGGAGCTTCCGCCTTGGCTATGGTGGAGCTTAGCCGGTAGGAGGAGGAGGGAGAAGGGGACCAAGGAGGAGAGTGGTAAGGTACTTACCTGGCTATGGTAGACACCATCTTCATCTCCTTGCTAGGCGCTGCATCAGGAAGGCCCCAGTGGGGGTAGTGCTGCATCAAGAAAGCTCGGACATAGTCAGGCATGGCGGTTGAGTGGGCAGCGGCATAGCTGCTGGGTGATGACCTTGGAGTAGGGCAGCAGTGTAGCTGCTTTAGGTTGTCTCTTGTACAGGAGGCTGAAGCCTCCGTAGTCCGCCATAGCCTCGGCCTGTATGTGGAGGAAGAAGAAGGACTGCCATGGCTATGGTGGACCTCATCTTGTGCCTGCAGTAGAAGTGGGATTCGGACATTGATTCTGGTTCAGCTGTTCAACATTATTGTTGTTTATTTATTGTTTGAATAAGAGAGGAGGAGATAAAGAGGAGGAGGTTGTTGAGCGAAGAAGAAGAGCTTTGTCTTTGGTCTATGCTGGRGTACATCATCTCTTTCTTCTTCTTAATTCTTCTTCTTCTTCTTTCCCTCTCTTTCCTCTCAAGTTCTTTCATTTCTTTTGCAATTGGACGGAATTGGGCTCAAGTTCATTCATTTCTTTTCGCAATTGGACAACATTGTACTTTCTGATGATTGTGGACTTCGAAATTGGCCAGAATCGTAACATTACACAAAAAAAGATCTTGATAATTCTTAGCAAATGTCAAAATGTCAAAATGAAGCACAAAAAGATATGGATAATACTTCCAGGTAGGAGGAGGAGGGGAAGGAAAACGAAGGACGAGGACGTAGAAGCTAAGCCTGGACCATTGCAACAAAGTTGAACAAACACAACCCAGCAAGCAGGCTTCTTCTTACCTCTCTACAGCTTGAACAGTACACAAAATCCCTCCCAGGCCGCAAAGACTACATGAACCCGGATTTCAAATAGCACCCCGCCCCGCACCCCCACTTTGGCATGCACACCCCAGATTTTGAATAGTACATATTCAACCAGTCAGGTGAGCTGTGGTGTGCGGGACACTGAAGCGGGACGTCGACACTATTGCTTACAATAAAGTCAAGGCTTCTAACCCACCCTTTCCCCTAAGGAGAGAGATGATGATCTCTGGACACCCACACATCAAAATGCTAACTGTATCATAAAACCTAAATGGCTGAAACACGAGTGAAAACATATTTCGACTCTCAGTTCAACCCATCTGGTGAGCAAACATCAGACCAGAGTTGTTGTGCTCAGAACTGAAATAATACCAAGCCAGAGTGGCTCACGTAGACAACAAGACCACACCAAAGCGGTTTGCTTTCTAAAAGGGGTGAGTCATTCAAGCAGGTAGATGCACAATCCATGCGAGCAGATGAACAATCCACACGCCATGTAGTATGACAACATTCGCGGATGTACTCGTCAATTATAATCGTCAAGAACAACAAAGGTTGGCGTCCCCGATGGAGCGCTTCAACGGCAGCCACGCTGTCATCCTCAGGGGGTTTCCGCCAGCCAGCTCCCTTGACTTCGCCTTCATCCCTCCAACCCACTCCTGTATTTGCAGATGAATGAATGACTTGAATGACGTGGTTTGCTTTCTAAAAGGGGTAACCCAGACCCTTATTGAACCAATCAGAACTGAAACTCATTGTCAGTTAAGTGACAGTAATATGTTCAACCATTCAGCCACATGGCAGCTACCAGCCAATCAAAGTGGTCCACTGCCAGTGGAAACTCTTATACCAACATGGCAGATGATCCTTGAGCAGCAGGTCAGCTTCTTTCTACCAGTCACATCTTCAACAAATAGCAGAACCCACATCGAGGAACCAGACCTCTCTTCCTCACAGATGCGCCCTAAACTGCACTCCCGACAGAGTCAGTGTCCTGGTTTATGGAAATGAAAAAGAGCATATGGCCGATGTCCTCCTATGACTGCGCCCGCGCCATCGGTAAGCGCGATAACGCAGCGCTGCGTTAAGTCGCGCTAGCACCTGAAACCAGGCCCGCTGGGCCGACACCCTCACCACGGTCTCACCCGTGCAGCTTCACTGAAGCCGTTTCCCGCCGCCCCACCAGACTCTCGTCGCGCGAATTTTGCCCGCGCTTTTTCGCCCGTGCGAATTCGCCCCCACGAACTTCGACTCAGGGCGGCAAGCTCCGCCATAGCCCCGATCTTGGCAGAGAAGCTTCCTCCACCATTCATGCGCTGCACACGCGCCTTCGCTGCAGGCGTCTAAGGTCCTACACCTGCGGGGGAGAAGCAACCTCGACTGGAAAAGAAGCCCCCAACACCACTAGCTCATCCCACGCGCCCCGTCTCCGCAGGCAGCCAAGGATCCGAAGGAGGCAGCAGTCTACTCGGAGGTAGAAGCAACCCACCTTCAGACAAAACCCCTTCAGCCCGGTATCGGGCTGTCCCAATCCAAAAGGCCCGCCATCCTTCATTGGCGAGCTAACTCAGCCACGTCAGCAAGGCATCTCCCACCCGGCAACGAAGACGGCCACCAGCAGACGACAAATGGCGACTTACATCAGGTAAGAAACGGAGCCAAGGGAACTGCCATCAGCGACCCTGCCGCCTGACTAATTGTATCCTATCTGTCCAAAATCTGCCCCTCCTTCCCCTCCCCCTCCCTCCCCCTCTACCGTTCCTCGG